TAATTAAAATGGCCAGTCATACAAAAGTAACATGTGTTTTCTTTTTCAAGTAAATGCTCAAAAACAAAACACACAGACAGGACCTGAACAAAGAAGAGAACTACCAAGCACTGCAGAGGGAGTCAGGAGAACATGCAATGAGAGAAAAGGGGTGAGCCGTAGATGAGGGAGGTTAGACAGGATCAGAAATGCCCTGTATGTGCATCCATTGACTTAGCAGAGTGAACCCAACTCATCTGTACAATTAATAAGGGTTACTGATTGTGATTTTTTAAATGCAGTGACATTTGTTGAGGAAGAAACAATCTCTTCATCAAATGAAGCTGGTAAAGCCAAATATCCTCGTAGAGAGACTGAAGCTGTCACTTTTCATATATGACATACAAAATTAACTCAAAATGGATCAGTATAAGGTAGGCAGGAGTGATAGCAATTTCTTTTACAGGAAAAGTCAACACTAATAAATAAGCCAGAGAAAAGGATTACTTCACGGTTTATGCGAGTCATGAGCAGCTATCAGTAACAATTTCATACTTATACCAAAGAAATCTGATCCTTAATATCTGGTATTTTGCAAGTACTTTATTTGATAAGAGATTATTGGAGCCCAGACAGAGAATTTGAAAATAAACTCTAGCTCTTCTTAGTGATTTCAATCTTTTCATGGAGGCCAAGGGCTCTGCAAAACATTTTTGCAAATATGAGTCCTTAATATTGGATCCAACAACAATACATGCTAGACGGGCTGCAATTATTGGTAGTTTATTTTAAAGCAAAGGAATAACAACTGAACATGAGTCTTCTGTCTTTAGAACAATTTTTGAAAATATAGTATAAAAGGGTTCTCATTTTCCTTATTGTAATTATACACAGATGTTGCTAGTGTTGTTTTTTAAATACCTTAAAATTTGCTCCAAACATTGACATTAAGCGCATCAAACAACAAAGTGTCTTTGGTATATTAAACTTTTGCAATTCAAGCATCTGTAATTTAATTTTCTCTTAACGGTAATTTTGCCTTTGGTACAAGTAAATTAAAACGTGAGTGCTAACACGTTGTACGTAAACAAACAGTAGGCTTTATTGCAGGGATACTTCCTGTCTTGGAATGTGGTTGTAGTCATCCTTGATCAGTACTTAAAATGTTTTTTTCTTAAGCAGGATGCAATTTAAAATTCTCTTTGCATCAAAGTGTAGGCAGAACAGCCCAAAGTGAAAGTTTGTATTTAATAAGGAGGTGCTTTATGCTGTACTCTTTGGTGGTTTTAGGAAAAGTCACATTTAGGTCTATACTGAAGCTGTTACTTTTTAACAAATAAAATGTAACAGGTTTCACATGGAAAAAAATTAGATCAAAGCCCAAGATACAAAAAGAAAGGACAAAAGTCTGAGAATAAAGCACAGCAATGAAGTTTTATTCCTGTGGAATTGACAATTATATTTATAGACACAGCCCCAAGAGAGAAAGGAGGAAAAATATTGTGCTTAATCAAACTTAAATCCTTCTATGTATTAAAAGACATCTTTAAAAAATTTTTTAAAATCACACAGAAAGGCAGAAAATATTTCCTATTCACATGTTAATAAGGGCCTGCTATATAGAATATATTTTTTAAAAATTCACATCCCTGGAATAAAAAAGTGAGCTCTACATCTGATATAGATTTAAAAAAAAAACTGATTATATGGTTCTTGAAAGATAGAGTAAACAAATGTAGACACAACAGAAAAAACGTGCGGGAACGTCAAGCTGAGCTCTCTCCCCGCCCATTGTCCAAAATCATCCCAGCCCAGACCCCACTGGACCCCGTGACTTGACTCACTTTCTCCCGAGCACCTGAGCCCCGCATCCTGCGCATGCGTACACTGACTCCCAGGCTCCCGCGGGCAGTGGAACAGCAGTGACTCGTTGCCCGCACAACGGAAAGCTTCTGTCCACACGGGCCCTGAGCCTTGGCCAAAGTGGGCAGTGCCAAGGGTGGACACGGCCATTCCACACTGCAGCTCCCGGCACACCACGTGGGCCGTGGGCAGGTCCAGCTCAGCGTTGCAGACTGTGCCCCAGGTCAGGCCCCACCGTACCTCCAGGCGCCCAGCACAGGGGTCCTCGCTGCCAACGAGCCGGGCCTCCACGTGTCCTGGGGACAGAAGCCGCACAAGAGCATCCAAAGCAAGACAGGCTTTTCATGGAACACAGGGATGAAGAGACCCGCATCCCGGCACCCAATCCCACGTGGAGGAAGGAAGGAGGACCCAGGACCACCTGCATAGGTCTGGCCACCAGAGAGCCAGAATCCAGACTCCAGGTCTTCCTGACAAGTACCTGGCACTGGTCCTTGCCTCTCCCTTGGGCCCTGGCTCCCAAAGTGTTGACTATGAAGATCATTCACCCCCAGAGAGATGTAGGCCCTGGGGCCCCACAGACAGATAGTATCATCCAATCAGGCTAGATGGGAGCCCCAAGGGGAGCAGCACCCCCAAAGAAGAGCACTCCAGGCCCTCCCACACCACTGCTCAGTGGCAAGGCACCGTCGTGCTAACCACCACAGAAAGCACTTTGCCTTACCACTGCCTAGGTGCTATGAGAAGATATCTTGATTTGTTTGTTCATACGCAGAAAAGGTCCAATGCTCTGGGTAGGGTGACCCTACCTGCGCACACCACCTCAGTGTAGGCTGGCATTTTTCTATGTACGTCACACTGTTCTATGAAGTTCATGTTGACCTTGCAGTGGAAAATGCTGGACTCTGTTCCCTGACAGGTCATGAATCTCTGCTCCTGGCCAACAGGAAGGTTTCTGGACCACTGCAAAGCGGTACCACACTCCAGCTCTCTGCAAATAACGCCTGCCTCCTCCTTTCCCAAGTCACATCTCATAGTATCAATGACTGGGCTCAGCACTCCAGGGGTTCCAGCACAGGGGCTGCCTCCTCCGTGCAGCACAATTTGCCTCCAGAAACTACCTGATGGAACAGAAGATAAAGAAGGACCAGTCGGCCCCTGCCAGAGGCACATGTGAAAGGGCTGGTCCCTGCCTGGATTTGGCTGGAAACTAGGGCATTTGTAGGCTCCCAGGTGTTCCCTGAGGTGAACTGGGATGACACAGGCCCTCCTCATGTGTATCATGGTCAGTGTGCACAGCACAGAGAACAGCTTCCAGGGAGCCTGGAAGGAGGTATCCAGAGGGATGACCATCAGGACAACAGAAGAAAGCACACTTATGACTGATTTAAAAGCCAGAGGATCATAACACGTAAGTGAGATGTGGCTCCAGGAGAGCAAAGAGGAACCAGCACATGCAAGGAAAGGCCTCAACTCATGTTGCTGCAACAGAAAACTTCAGAATCCCAAGGACTCCAGGCAAACCAGGTACTGACTTCTGGCCCAAACCCTTCCCCATTCCCTGGATCTCATCTCAGTGGAACCCAAACAGCACAAGGGGCCCTCAGATAATGGGGGATTCAGACTTCACTGTCCAACCTACCTGAGCATGTGACAAAGGCAACACATTGGCAGCTGCAATGACCGACAGGCCCCCAGTCACCCAGAGAGCACTGCCAAAGAGAGGCCTCCTCACCCTGGCACTGGGCACCATAAAGCCAGGGTGGCACCATGTCTTGGGGCATCAAAACACGTTGAGATGTATAGAGCACCCCTGTGCAGTTGAGCTGTCTGCAGATCACTGAGGCCTCTTCCATGCCCCAGCGGTCCCCACACACCAGGCCTTGCTGCCCACGGTGCTCCACATGCAGGAGGCCATCACAGCGAGATTCTCCCTTCAGGAGACTTATGGACTCCTCCCCAGCTGAGCCTTAGAAACAAGAACACAGGAAGCAGAGATTCCAATTTGTTGACACAGGGTTAGAAAGCTTGCCTTCGTTTTTAATGCTGAGTCTTAATTCTTTCTAGATTTACTCAACAATAATACTTTGCATTTTTTGACAGCAAAATTTTGCAAAATGAAATTAAAGTTAATAAAATTAGGCACAGAGAAATTAAGTTTAGGTGTGGACATTGTTTTATAATCACTGAGTCTCTCTCTCTCTCTCTCTCTCTC